CACTTGGTCGATTAAGCGATCATGTGATGGGCAGAATCAATCTGCCTAGGTGCATGATCGCTTAAGCGATCCGTGATATCCCTTAAGCGATTCTTCTCATTTCACTTGGTCGATTAAGCGATCTAGCCATCATGTGATGGGCAGAATCATATCTGCCCAAGTGCCACGACGCCTAAGCGATCCGTGATATCTTAGGCAATACATACTTTTTCATCTTTTCTCCTGATTTTTGACCAATTAAATTTACAACACATATTAATTTCATACTTTCTCCTCAATTTGCAACCTAATTCCAAACTAAAATCACCAACCAACAATATTTAGGCCATGTAACAAGAATACTAAATATAAAGAATTATTTATTCAAGGTAACAATAAAATTGAAAACATCAATAATTGAAAACAATAACTCACAACGGTTGGCCTTGGAACTCCCTGAATTTCATCCTTCTTCGATCAATTTTCAGGATTGCATGTGATTACTTCTGACAACTGCTTCTCTTGTGGCCAGGTTGCTTGCAAATTGAAACTTATTCATCTTTCGAGGAACTCAGAGGCTGATGGAATGCGCTTAACTCTTTTTCCCTTGCTGTCTTCTGAATGGCGGATGGATGATAATGTCAGCCAACTCTGGCGACACTACCCACTGCTCTTGGGGTATGGATATATCGTTTCTGAATAAGCTAGCATGTAGTGATTTGCCATATACAGAGGGGAGCAAAGTTCCATGAAATTTGAACTAAAATTCGGCTTCCGTTAGTGTTTCAGTGCGCTAGTGCATGAGGACAAGGTAAACATGAATGTCAAGCACTTTACAGCTACAAGTTTTACTAACAAGATTAACTAGGGCATCGGACCATAGTCGCGCACAGTGAACTCTTGAGAATTAAGAAGATAGACAAACAATGCATTTGACAGTTCCATACGTTCTTGCAATAATTTTTCAGCTGACGGAACAAGGGTTATAGTAAAATTATCTGACTCCGTACGACGCTCATGGAACCACCATGACAATGTCCTCTGGATTGCATCAAAAAGTGCAACTATTGGAAACTCTCTTTCTTTAGCAACTTCGAATTTATGGACTCGGCTATGTTCGTGGTCAGACATCAAACTTTTTCCAGGAAAGTAAGCTCTACTCCATCGCTCAAACCAACATCATGCTCAAGATACTTAGCAACTCTATCATCCTTGATTCGGATTTGCTAGAAATGCTCCTCAAACTCATCAACCCGATAGATAAGTTTTGCTGCCATGTAGTATGCCTGAAGAAGGCCACACACTTAAACTTTGTTTTATGTTCTCACCAAAGTGCCTCATACAGAATCGTGATATGCTTGAGGGAAATAGTGGCAATTCACTTCTTTATAGAGTTGTGCCTATCAGAATTATGCACAACTCGTCACTGTCAGGCACTATGTACGTAATTGCTGAAAAAACCAAGTCCACGACTTGTCATTCTCAAAGTCAACCACAACCATGCAAGAGGATATGTGTGATTCTTGCTGTCCTATGCAATGGCCACCAACAATGTCATCAACAGCCAATACCTTTCTCATGTTTACAAAACCCCTTTATAGCAGAACCGTAAGCAACAAAAAAATATTTAAACATCATATTCCTGTTCCACTTCAAAGTCGTCTTGCTACTTCGTTTGTCAACCCAAGCATATAATGATACGCTTCTAATACTGCGTACCCGTGCTCTGTTGTGCCACAAAATCTTATGCACGTTATCTCCCTTTCCAGCATTTCCAGTAACTAACAATACATCCCAACTCTGTGCGCACAAGTCTCTGAATCTCTTTAGGAGATGGACATTTCCCTTCAATGAACTGACTTTTGACAAATTGTCCAATAACATCAGCGGAGGCTTGTCGATGCTCACCTGAAATATGTCTCAAACCACATGTGTGCTACAGGTAATGTACTAAGAATAAATTTTTCGGACTCACCAACTTCTACATAAACCCGCACTTGAACTTTCGGTCAGACATGCAACCGTCACAACCAATGAATTTGACTTTTTGGTGATGAACTTAAAATTACCTCTCACCGCAACAAGTTTTAGCTTCCCACACTTCCTCTTTGTTGTCAAATAAATACCCTATGCGCAACTCTGATCCATCCGTAAAAACATAGTGTTCAACTACTACCTGCAATTGCCCCCTCTGAACCTGCAAAAACGACCATAGGTTCTCTTCCCCACAAACTACACCCTCTGCATAATTTTTATTTAAAGGAATCTTACATCTACGGGAACATGTACGGGGTCCTCCTCCTCAACATTTTCATTCTACCGCCCATGACCAACCTCTTCTACAGTGTCCTCCTCACCACCCAATTCACCATCTACTCTTGATTTTTCAACTAACAAATCATGCCCTCATGTTCAAATTAAAACGAGGCAAATCTCCGCCAACTTCCTGTTATCCCCTCCTTAGAACCAACTTCCAACGGTTTTCCTATAAAGAAAACCTTAAAATGCCTCGAACCATTATCGGCCACATCAATCATATATAACTTCACTTTCATCCGACTTAATATAGTAGGAGGTACCTTATAATGTTTAGGAACTCTGCTTAAAACATACTTCACAACTATATCACTACGTAAGCAACTCAACACCCCTTCTAATTATTTCATCAATCAACTCATCAAAACTAACCTCTGTGCTCACAGCAATTGGTATAATTCTTTGCTTTCCCAATCCACTTCCACCTACTTTCTTCCTCCACCCACTACCAAAATATTCAACACCCAAAACAACTTGTCCCATGTCTAATAATAGCCAACTACCTATAATGCAAGAAAAAAATATTCTTAACTATGTACAAGGGTTGAAATATTTTAAAAAGCATCTGCACAGTCGCTTGACAGATCTGCCGTATCGCTTAGTGATCTGGTATATCGTTTATTGGATCGCTTAAACGATTAATGGATCGCTTAAGCGATCCAGTGTAAATAGGCATGATCGCTTAAGCGATATTATGTCATTTACTGATCGCTAAGCGATCTGCTGCTATACACCAGACTTTAGACGCTTAAGCGATCTTTACAAACCTACCAATCGCTTAAGCGATCTATCTGCTGCATACCAGACGTACCAGACGCTTAAGCAACCATCATAACCAGAACACATTTTCAGTCATCTCCACCTACAATCGGTGCTACCACCCAGCTACCCACAATGCAAGAAAATTTTTAACAAATTCCACTCCTTTCAACGTTCATTACATCAAACACAACCCAACAACTTAAACAACTAAATCAAAATCATAACTCAAACCCAATCCATCATTAAATCTTTGTAAATCAAAAGGGGATACACATAGCTGGATCGCTTTTCAGCAGGAGGAGGAGGAGAAGGAGGAGGAGGATCTGTGTTGGAGAAGAGTTAATGGCGGAGGAATACGTTAAAGTGGCAGGAGGAAGAGGAAGAAGGTGTTTGGGTTGTTTTGCAAGATTTTCGACTCTTTGGAGACTTATTATAATTTTTAAAGATTACCCAATTATTCATTAATCCTAATTAACCCCTAATCATGTTTAATTAAGCTTAATCAAAACAAAGCCATTTAGTTAAAATTTACAAACTCTATAGCCTTTTAATTAAATTTTGTTTAATGGTCTTTTAATAAAATGCCCCAATTGTTCCCACACAGACTGTGGATCATTTTTCCCTCTTTAATTTGTGCTGGAACTCTCTCATTCCTTTGCTCTTATAGCAAATTATCTACTGTATACTTTGTACTAAAACATTGGCTGCTTAACTAGTAAATTAAAACCAATTTGTCAACTATACTTGCAAGTGGGTTAAGAAACAACAAAATTGGAGAATAATGCAGGATTTGAATCCTCTATTAATCTATTCTTATTCTTTCAAGGATTTAAAGAGATGTGAGAGTTAATTATTCAATGGTTGTGATTAATTATTTCAATTTTTTTTCTTTCAAATGGTCGACGGCTTTAAAATATTGTTGACATGATTATCAAAGATGCCATGAAAGATCACTACCGACAATTCCATTAGCAGAAGAAAAAAAAAAAGACTTTAAATAATTATAATTGAGGTGTGCGTGGTAGATATATTTGCTCAACAGCAATATGCCGGTCAATTGTTTTTCTCCAAATAAGCATGAGCTGGATGATAAACGATCCTGCTTCTACAGATAAAGTTTATTTTTAATATTAATTTAACCTTACATGCAACTTGATCAAAATCATAACTATACGAATTTTGTTTATATATCTATCATATTTCAATCTTTAAAACTAAAAGCTTATTGAATTGCAAGCTGCCATTCTTCTTCATTTTTTTTTTAAATTATTATATATATGTTTTATGTTTATTAACCCTCATCCACCCATCCAACTTCCAGAACACTATAGATGACAAGACTTTAGGTTATCTTGAAGTCTTATTATCTCTAATTATTTGAACAATTAGGTGTATTGGGTGTTCAATTATTTGTTTCTTGTTATCTCTAACTATTTGTTTTCGGGTTCAATTATTTAATATTGACATTCTCCAAACTCTTGGATATTTTCATACCAAAATCTCAAATTTCACAAACCAATTGGTCTTTCGGCTCCCACAAACTTCCTGAATTGACATAAAAAAATTACATAAAAAAAGCACTTCATGTTTTTTCTTTGTTTTTTTTTTGTTACAAAAAATTACATAAAAAAAGCACTTCATGTTGTTATTTAATATAGGGTTTAATGAAATAACAAAGTTCTTTGGAAACTTCAGAAGTAACGAAAATCTCTCTATTGTTAGTTTGCTGTTAGTGTACGGTTAGAGTTTATAACATGATAGGTGATTGAATTTTTACTTAATTACCCCTTTGCCATTAAATTACATAACCTGTCTACTACTTTAACTAGCCAGCTGTTTTATTTGCTGAATATGGCGCTTTGTCTCTATGGAGAATAAGGTCCAAGTTATAAGAGCTCTTAGATCGAAGCATAAGAGAACCGAACAAATTCAAAGAGAAAACCATGGCTCTAGGTTATTTGTTTGATCAATGGCGGAAAAATTTGTATACAACTCTTTTCTTTCCTATCTTATATTCTCTTCTTTTTCTTATCATTTCCCTTCTGTATTATTTTGTTAAGCTCAATAGAAGTTTGAAACAACTAAATTTACCTCCATCACCACCAAAGCTACCAATAATAGGAAATTTACATCAGCTAGGCACTCTACCTCACCGCTCTCTGCAAAATCTATCTCAGAAACATGGTTCTCTAATGTTGTTACACTTCGGCTCTGCTCCAACTCTCATTGTTTCATCTGCAGAAACCGCGAGAGAGTTACTGAAGACTCATGATGCTGTCCTCATAGAACGACCTAGAACAAGGGCTGCTCGTGTTCTCTTCAATGGATGCAGTGACATAGCTTTTTCTCCATACGGTGATTATTGGAGAGAAGTCAAAAGGATTTGTGTTCTTAAACTTTTGAGCAAAAGAAGAGTGCTAGAATTTCATTCTGAGATGGAAGAAGAAGTTGCAGATATGGTTGGGAAGATTCGGGTTTCATGTCTCAATGGGGCTTCCATTAATTTTCGTGAGATGCTAGTTACTGTATCTAGCAATATAATTTCAAGATCTGTTCTTGGTCAAATATATTTAGGGGAAGAAAGTAATAAAAGCTTTGGAGAGTTATCAAGGAAGGCAATGGATCTAATAGGTGCTTTTTGTTTTGAAGATATGATTCCAGCATTGGGATGGATGGATGTTCTAACTGGTTTAGTCGCAAATTTGAAAAGAACTTCGAAAGAATTGGATAATTTTCTTGATCAAGTGATTGAAGAACGTCAAGTTTTGAGCATTGAAGACCGCGAGGATCATTATAAGAAAGCTCTTGTTGATATTCTTCTGCATCTTCAACAGGATGATGACATGCTAGACTTCAACCTCACTCGACAAAACATCAAAGCAATCTTACTGGTATCTCTCTCTCATTATCATAAATAAAATTTCACATACACATGCAGCTAAACTATAAAATTCTCGTTGATTTACAGGACATGTTCACCGGAGGAACTGATACTATTTCAGCAACCATAGAATGGGCAATGGCAGAACTAATTAAAAATCATAGTTTGATGAAGAAAGCCCAAGGAGAGGTAAGAAGAGTCATCAAAGATAAAGCAAGGATCGATTTTATGGACATTGCTCAAATGGAGTATATAAAATTTATCATCAAAGAGACCTTGAGGTTACATGCTCCAGCTCTGATTTTTAGAGAAACATCAGCTAGTATTAAAATGAATGGCTATGACATTCCTCCCAAAACAAGAGTGTTGATCAACACGTGGGCTATTCAAAGGGATCCGAAATTATGGGACAGGGCCGAGGAGTTTCTTCCCGAAAGGTTTGAAAATGACCAGGTTGATTATTTCGGAGGCCAAGACTTCCAATTTATAGCATTTGGTAGTGGGAGAAGGAGTTGCCCAGGAACATCATTTGCAACTGCAGAAGCTGAATATGTGTTGGCAAATTTGTTGAATTGGTTTGATTGGGAATTACCAAGTGGCCAAAATGGGGAGAACTTAGACATGAGTGACATTTTTTCATCAGTTTTGCGTAAGAAACTGCCTGTTTCTCTTGTAGGAACATTGCATCATTAAATGTAAGCAGTCTGCAAATCTCCCTTTTTGTATTTATTTATTAGTGAAGTCACCAAGAAGATTAAAATTTTCTCCCATGATCTTATGGAAAACTTCTGTAGGTAGATAATGATCTTAGATTAAAAGAAGAGTAAACGACTTTTTCCCACCCAAATACAAATAGTGACTCAATTGACACTTTACTAACCATATACTTTTAAAATATCATTTTACTATTCAAATTTATATTCCGTTTTCGATTCTGGTGTCGTTACGACTCTACACCATCACTATTTTCTTTCTCAGTCATCACTCATCAATCAAAACCCCTCAAAACATACTTCTGCCGACTCCACCAATCGCTAGCAATCAAGCGATTAGAGTTTACGCAACCGCTCCTCTCAAGTCAAATTCTGATCGATTCCAACCACAAAAATCCAACATTTCACTATTAAAAGACTCATCAGTCTCCCCTCTTCAAAATCCCTAATAGCTTAGGCCGAATTTACTCTCTATTCGCTTTCAGAATATAAATTTGAATAACAAAATATTATTTTAAAAGTTTATGAATAAAAAAATGTCTTTAAACCATTACTTAGGTGGAAAAAATAGTTAACTCTTAAAAGTGAGATAAGGCCTAAGGTTTTCTTTATGGCACTTCCTAAATAAGCGCCTAGATTTGATAGAGCTGGTCCAACCTGGGTAATATTTTAAAATTATTAATCATGCTTAGGCTATCTTGATATAATCGGGATTTTGTTGGGTGTCTGCTGATTACACAACAATCCCATGTGTTTAATCTAATAAAAAAACATGTATTAGACTAGGATCCTAGAAAAAATGAATCGGTCGACACTTCTCTTCCTTAATTAATTACTGGGCCCAAAGACAATAAACATATTCCCAGGCAGTGATTCAGTAATTGCGGATTAATATAAGGAAGAATTGATCAGTAATGAAACGATAACAAATTCCACTCCTTTCAACGTTCATTACATCAAACACAACCCAACAACTTAAACAACTAAATCAAAATCATAACTCAAACCCAATCCATCATTAAATCTTTGTAAATCAAAAGGGGATACACATAGCTGGATCGCTTTTCAGCAGGAGGAGGAGGAGAAGGAGGAGGAGGATCTGTGTTGGAGAAGAGTTAATGGCGGAGGAATACGTTAAAGTGGCAGGAGGAAGAGGAAGAAGGTGTTTGGGTTTTTTGCAAGATTTTCGACTCTTTGGAGACTTATTATAATTTTTAAAGATTACCCAATTATTCATTAATCCTAATTAACCCCTAATCATGTTTAATTAAGCTTAATCAAAACAAAGCCATTTAGTTAAAATTTACAAACTCTATAGCCTTTTAATTAAATTTTGTATTAAATGGTCTTTTAATAAAATGCCCCAATTGTTCCCACACAGACTGTGGATACATTTTTCCCTCTTTAATTTGTGCTGGAACTCTCTCATTCCTTTGCTCTTATAGCAAATTATCTACTGTATACTTTGTACCTAAAACATTGGCTGCTTAACTAGTAAATTAAAACCAATTTGTCAACTATACTTGCAAGTGGGTTAAGAAACAACAAAATTGGAGAATAATGCAGGATTTGAATCCTCTATTAATCTATTTCTTATTCTTTCAAGGATTTAAAGAGATGTGAGAGTTAATATATTCAATGGTTGTGATTAATTATTTCAATTTTTTTTCTTTCAAATGGTCGACGGCTTTAAATATTGTTGACATGATTATCAAAGATGCCATGAAAGATCACTACCGACAATTCCATTAGCAGAAGAAAAAAAAAAAGACTTTAAATAATTAAATGAGGTGTGCGTGGTAGATATATTTGCTCAACAGCAATATGCCGGTCAATTGTTTTTCTCCAAATAAGCAGAGCTGGATGATAAACGATCGCTTCTACAGATAAAGTTTATTTTTAATATTAATTTAACCTTACATGCAACTTGATCAAATCATAACTATACGAATTTTGTTATATATCTATCATATTTCAATCTTTAAAACTAAAAGCTTATTGAATTGCAAGTTGCTATTCTTCTTCATTTTTTTTAATTATTATATATATGTTTTTAGTTTATTAACCCTCATCCACCCATCCAACTTCCAGAACTACAAATGACAAGACTTTAGGTTATCTTGAAGTCTATTATCTCTAATATTTGAACAATTAGGTGTATTGGGTGTTCAATTCTTTGTTTCTGTTATCTCTAACTATTTGTTTTCGGGTTCAATTATTTAATATTGACATTCTCCAAACTCTTGGATATTTTCATACCAAAATCTCAAATTTCACAAACCAATTGGTCTTTCGGCTCCCACAAACTTCCTGAATTGACATAAAAAAATTACATAAAAAAGCACTTCATGTTTTTTCTTTGTTTTTTTTTGTTACAAAAAATTCATAAAAAAAGCACTTCATGTTGTTATTTAATATAGGGTTTAATGAAATAACAAAGTTTGGAAACTTTAGAAATAACGAAAATCTCTCTATTGTTAGTTTGTGTTAGTGTACGGTTAGAGTTTATAACATGATAGGTGATTGAATTTTACTTAATTACCCTTTGCCATTAAATTACATAACCTGTTCTACTACTTTAACTAGCCAGCTGTTTTATTTGCTCAATATGGCGCTTTGTCTCTGGAGAATAAGGTCTAAGTTAAGAGATCTTAGATCGAAGCATAAGAGAACCGAACAAATTCAAAGAGAAAACCATGGCTCTAGGTTATTTGTTTGATCATGGCGGAAAAATTTGTATACAACTCTTTTCTTTCCATCTTAATTATAAACAAAAAAATATTTAAACATCATATTCCTGTTCCACTTCAAAGTCGTCTTGCTACCTTCGTTTGTCAACTCAAGCATATAATGATACGCTTCTAATACTGCGTACCCGTGCTCTGTTGTGCCCCTCACAAAATCTTATGCACGTTATCTCCCTTTCCAGCATTTCCAGTAACTAACAATACATCCCAACTCTGTGCGCACAAGTCTCTGAATCTCTTTAGGAGATGGACATTTCCCTTCAATGAACTGACTTTTGACAAATTGTCCAATAACATCAGCGGAGGCTTGTCGATGCTCACCTGAAATATGTCTCAAACCACATGTGTGCTCACAGGTATATGTACTAAGAATAAATTTTTCGGACTTCACCAACCTTCTACAATAAACCCGCCACTTGAACTTTCGGTCACGACATGCAACCGTCACAACCAATGAATTTGACTTTTTGGTGATGAACTTAAAATTACCTCTCACCGCAACAAGTTTTAGCTTCCTCACCACTTCCTCTTTGTTGTCAAATAAATACCCTATGCGCAACTCTGATCCATCCGTAAAAACATGAGCTGCTTCACTACTACCTGCAATTGCCCCCTCTGAACCTGCATAAACGACCATAGTGTTCTCTTCCTCACAAACTACACCTTCTGCATAATTTTTATTTAAAGGAATCTCTACATCTACGGGAACATGTACGGGGTCCTCCTCCTCAACATTTTCATTCTACCGCCCATGACCAACCTCTTCTACAGTGTCCTCCTCACCACCCAATTCACCATCTACTCTTGATTTTTCAACTAACAAATCAATGCCCTCATAGTTCAAATTAAAACGAGGCAAATCTCCGCCAACTTCCTCGTTATCCCCTTCCTTAGAACCAACTTCCAACGGTTTTCCTATAAAAGAAACCCTTAAAATCTGCCTCGAACCATTATCGGCCACATCAATCATATATAACTTCACTTTCATCCGACTTTAATATAGTAGGAGGTACCTTATAATGTTTAGGAACTCTGCTTAAAACATACTTCACAACTATATCACTACGTAAGCAACTCAAATCACCTCTTCTAATTATTTCATCAATCAACTCATCAAAACTAACCTCTGTGCTCACAGCAATTGGTATAACTTCTTTGCTCTTCCCAATCCACTTCCACCTACTTTCTTCCTCCACCCACTCACCAAAATATTCAACACCCAAAACAACTTGTCCCATGTCTAATAATAGCCAACTACCTATAATGCAAGAAAAAAAATATTCTTAACTAATGTACTAAGGGTTGAAATATTTTAAAAAGCATCTGCACAGTCGCTTGACAGATCTGCCGTATCGCTTAAGTGATCTGGTATATCGTTTATTGGATCGCTTAAACGATATAATGGATCGCTTAAGCGATCCAGTGTAAATAGGCATGATCGCTTAAGCGATATTATGTCATTTACTGATCGCTTAAGCGATCTGCTGCTATACACCAGACTTTTAGTAGATCGCTTAAGCGATCTTATACCACATACCTAATCGCTTAAGCGATCTATCTGCTGCATTACCAGACGTACCAGATCGCTTAAGCAATCCATCATATCCAGAACACATTTTCAGTCATCTCCACCTACAATCGGTGCTACCACCCCCAGCTACCCACAATGCAAGAAAATTTTTAAACAAAATTCCACTCCTTTCAACGTTCATTACTCAACCCCAACCAACACACTTAAAAACAACTACATCAAATCATAACTCAACCCAACCAGCTTAAATCTTTGTGTAAATCAAAAGGGGAAATACACAGAGCTGTCGCTTTTTTCAAGCAGAGGAGGAGTAAAGGAGAGGAGGATCGGTTTTTGGAGAAGATGTGTAATGGCGAGTGAATACGTAAGGTGGCAGGAGGAAGAGGAGAAGGTGTTTGGGTTTGTTGCAAGATTTTTCGACTCTTTGGAGACTTTATTATCATTTTAAAGATGCCCATTAATTCCTAATCCTAATTAACCCCCTAATCAGTTTTAATTAAGCTTTAATCAAAAACAAAGCCATTTATTTAAAATTTACAAACTCTAAAGCCCTTTTAATTAATTTTTAGTTAACTGGTCTTTTAATAATGCCATTGTCCCACACAGACTGTGGATACATTTGTCCCTCTTTAATTTGTGCTTGGAACTCCCTCATTCCTTTGCTCTTATATCAACTTAACTTACTGTTACTTTGTACCTAAA